ACGTCTCGCTTGAAAGTGCGTTTCTTTAAAAGTCAAGCCTGACAAACGCAAAAAAGAAAAATCAAAGTTTAAATCGTACAGTGCGACCACAGTGTTGCTTTTTGTTTTGTTCTACAGTGCAATACCGTCTATTACCGGGGCATATTTTGCGCACTTTCTCATGAACTTATTTGATAGGTTGACGCAGTAATGGAATGACCAGTGCACTCACATATATATTGTTTTCTTTATTGATGTTGTCCTCTGGCACAATTGTTCCCCAGTGCTGTTTACGAGGCGAGTTGTTTAAAACTTTACCGTCCTTATATCATCGGGTGCATAAATGTTTCGAAGGACCTTTAATGCTCAAGTATCTCAGAATCACTTCAGTACAAGGATTTTGAGTGACTCTGAATCTGATCGAACTCACAAAGCCCCCGATTTTGGTCAATGTCCAAAACCATGCGATGAAAAATTTCGCCAATTTGACAGAAGACATTTTTATTTTCAGCTGTCTCAGAATGAAATCAGTACAAGATTCTGAATGACTCCGATCGACACAGCGATTTTGGTCACGGCCGAAACTGCGATAACAATTTGACAGAAGACTGGTACAGATTCTCGGCGGAGGCTGGAACGAGTATACCTACACACTGCTTACCGCACCGTAGATGTAGCACGGCCTTGCCAGGGTGGCTGGACGGAGCACACCCAACAATTGATGAATGCCCTTCTGAAAGAGGTTGGACTTATTTGTGATTCATTTATTCAAATTTGACGGATAATTTCAGAGAAAGTGTCACAGCTCCTTTGAGGCCTCGAGCTGTTTGTCACATAAATTCCCGTTATCGTTAGCGGAAAAGGTCATAGGGAATGTGAGATCGGCTTACAAATGGAGTGGAGTCTCTTATAACGGATGGGGGAGATAAAGTGTTCACAGGCATTTTATAGAAATGCATTATTCCGATTGGGGAGGGCCGTTCCATCTTACATAATATCGTATTTCCCCGTTCTATTTGGCTGTCAGCAACAGCAAATTTGTGTTCAAAACATTTCAAGGACTGAAGTTTTCCAGAGTTCTTTTTGTGCAGTGACCTTGATGACATTTGTGGATATAAAATCCTCACTTATTGCTGGCTGTCTTAAACGGCTATCTTAGACTTTTAACTATTGCTGGTTAAAATTCCAAGGCCCTAACTCATTCCTGAAAACAAATCAAAAAAGCTTGATAAAACGGTTTACGTTTAATAATTTGAATCAGGGCTGTATTTTCTCTCTTCCCTCCCCATTTCTTTATTCTTAGCTCAGAATGTTCGGATCAATATCAGTATCTGGGCAACTGCTCACCTACCCCTCCCCTAACTCAACAATAGTCAATTGATAACAAGGTGGGGTTAATGTTGGGTTAGGGGAGGGGTAGGTGGACAGTTACCCAGATACTGATATTGATCCGAATGTTCAATGGAATGAACCTCACGCAAACTGCATTCTCGTGTGTGATAAGTAGAAATAAGTGCGTGTGAGTGCGTGATGTCTCGCAGTCGACGGCTCGCGGTTTCGACCTGACTAAAGATAAATAGAACTATAGGTAGGGCAGCTGAACACTCCTCTGACGGTATTTAATTCTTCATATTGAAAACTTTTTATATGTGGCATATTTAGAGGGCCTTATTATGTAAGGCTTTGCATAATAAAAAGAGTAATCTTCACGAGAAATGTTATTCTTTCAGCTTGTATTTTACTTGCTTTAATAAGTTAGTTCTGTCAACTGTAAAACGTGATAGTTCTTTCGGGTAGAATTCTGTAAAGTGTGTAAAATAAATTTCATATCCCTTCTCTTGGCGCCCTCTTTGACTTGTCCTGTTTTTATGGAATGCTTATAAAAATAATATCTGAGAATAATTTGACCAAAATTTACAGGGAATGTATTACACCTATTTTGAGGACACGTGTTACTTCTATTCCAATTTCTTGTTAAATGTAAAAGTTGCCAAAAGTTTGGAATCGGCTTATGCCTGGAGCAGGAGTCTCTTATGTAGGATTGTTGTGATGCTACACTTCCAATTATTCAATAACGTTGATTTATTTTCTCATTGGGGGCCTATTCACAAGAAGACATGAGCAAACAAAAGCGTTTAAAGGATGGCATGCCTAGAGCTGGCTGCTGAACTGTTGTTTTCTACCAGCAAAACAGAAGGTCAGTTTGATTAAATTTCCTAAACTGAAGTCAGCAACAGGAGAAAATAAATAATGACTATTGTGATATCGCCCTGAGGCATTTCACTGACTCATAATCCCATTAAAAACCATAATAAAGCTAAAGTGTGTGGGGCCGGATGGGTTGACGTGAGCTAGAAATGAGTTGCGTTTTTCAATAAATCATGAGTTTCATGCTGTGACTAAAACAAATAATGATAAAGTTATATTTGATGTGTAGGTTGGGATGATGTTGGTTCTTGTCGTTGCTGCGAGGGTTTTTCTCCGGTCCTCCGGTTTTTGTCCTTCCACAAGAACAAATATTCTAAATTCCAATGGAAACAGTGGAAAGAAGAGCCACCTCGTGGAATTTCTGCTGCTAAATTTCCATATAATTATTATTATCATTATTATTATTATTATTATTATTATTGTTAACAAAGAGGTTTGCAAAATGCTTTTAAACTCTAGCTCCATAATCCCCTTCCTGAATAAGAGACTCCATTTCATCTTGCTTTCTCTAGTCTCTGTAAAATGCACTTGATAATAAAAAGCATTACCGTAATTGAAAGACAATAGCGCTGCTTGACGACAAGAAGCTGAATACAGAACTTAAACCTGGGATGAATAAACTTAATTACTCTTTCGAAAACATTGCATGTGGTCAAATGTCATTCTTAATTTTCCCATAAATTTACTCTCGTAATGTGTTTCATTTTCTACCTTGATTTCAATTTACTTCCATCATATTATAATTTCTTCTGTGACTCCGATCCTCTTTCGTTATCTTTACAACGAGAAAGTGACAAAAGCCTTTCTTTGAAAACTTTAGAAGATAGAGACCAAAATTATTTATCATTTTTTAAAGCGTGCATGGTGACAAGTTCCCATAGCCAATAATTAAAATCCCTCGCCATTTATCATGAAATGTATATTGTAAATGCGGCGTAACACTTCATTGCGTAAAACGAAAATATTTAGAAGCGAATTCCTCTTACATGCATGCATCTTCTGAAATTATCTTTCGTTCTCGACGAATTTTCTTTTAGGTGTCAATGAAACCACCCCAAATTTTCTTGTTTGTTTGCACTTATTTACAAAGAAGGGGAAAGAGAGTGAAAAATTATGAGCAAACTAAAGCTAGTGTTATCTGAGCGAGGACTTTGGTTCTGATCGTGAGCGACAGTTGGGCTTTGTTATCCACATGAAAAAACGATCGACCCACTGTGAAAGGAAAACATCCGTTGACTGCTTTGAATAACTTATGCTGTGTTTAGATATTTCACAACATCGATCGCCTTCCGCCCTTTGCACGACTGTGAAATTAGTAAAACGGAAGTTTATGTTCACCCTCTCGAAATTTGACAAAATTAACGCTAACCAAAACAAAACATAACCCAAAATAAACGAAAAGAAAATCCCTTATGAAATTAACATAGCACGAGATTGAGGTAGAAAATTCAAATTGTGTGATACCTCTGTCTTTCAATTGATAAACAGTTAGTAAATTTGTGGTTATAAATGGTGGTGAAGTGATAATAATGGTAGAATATGTAACATTACGGTAATAAATGATATCAGGGTAAAGACTGTAACATCACGGCAGTAACATTGAAATCAAGATTGCAGGCAAATGGAATACCGCCCAAACAAATTATATTAGTATAGAAAACGGAATATAACCAATCGGGGCAAAAATACGAGGCTAAATTTAAGTCATACAATTGAGTTCTACGTAGCCAAGTAATTTTGAAGCAAACGGGCGAAACATTACCATATCCATGATATTCAAATTTGCTTGCTTCGGTTAAAAATTATTCAGATGGACATAATTGTTGCGCGAATGTAACATCTACTTGAGCTCTTGTTTGGAGTTGCACATCTCATAATTTTAAAGGCTTTACTTCGACCCGTTTAACAGTGTAGGGGAAATCACGAAGACTTTGGTTTAAACCCCTGTCGACATCGGCACTCGAAGCTAACAAACCTCGACATTTTTGTTGCTTGATAATTAATAACCAAGTCGTAAAGTGATTTGTATATTTCAAACATTGTTTTCGGCAGACTGAAAATTAGAACATTTAAAAACGTTTTCGTAAGCATTTTATTATACTTGTTTGAGTTTGCGCTCTTTGATATCAGTTCTTTTCGTCACGTGAAGTCCCTTTAATCTTTTTTTACTTCTAACATTAAACTAAGATAATGATGTTGAATCAGGTGCGAATATTAGGGCTAGTGTGGATGGGGGGGGGGGGGAGGATACACTTTTTAAATCTGTGAAAGATTTTAAGCTCTCGCTAATCTGCTGCCTTATTAAAGAAATTCGTCTAAACTTTCTCTTTTTTTTTTAGTAACTCTAGGCTAAGCTTTTAAACATGTTAAAGTTACGATTCGTAACTTTTAACCTTTCTATGGAGTATCGAAGGTAGATTGTGTATTGTATTCAATATGAATAAGAAATAAGATGTAGATCGAAGTTTTCTTTCATGCAAGTTTTTATTGTTATTCCTTCCCTTGTATACAATATCAAATTCTTAGCTTGGTTCACTATATTTAGCTCCAGGTACACAGCATTGCTTACAAGAGAAATCCACTCGCTTATTACTGCTAACCGAACATTTGAAATTATGCCATCGTGAATATCGACAACGCTATCACAAAATGATTGACAATTATACATACAATCATTTTTATCATTATTTGTTATTATTATTGTTATTATTATTATAATTATTATTATTACTTTTAGTAGTAGTAATGGTAGTTTAGTAGTAGTGGTAGTAGTAGTAGTAGTAGTAGTAGTAGTAGTAGTAGTAGTAGTAGTATTGTTATCAGTACATATAGTATTACTATCGTGATAATTACTATTGTTATTGTAATTATTATCATTGTCATTCCTATTTATATTATCAAATTTCTAAGGTATATTTTAATCCATCCCTTTGCATGTTGGATTTCATCTACAAGGAGTGCCTTAAGCTTTTCAGTGCAGTTAAATGGAAGCAATCAACGTAGATGCTCTAGGATAGTAAATATATATATGTGCTGCTAAAACTATCAGATATCTGAAACTATCTAGTGAATCACAGGCCAAGTAAAGAGTTTTTAATGGCAAGGTTGTTGATGAACAGGTATTTTAACCAAGATAAAACACCTCCCAGTCATCAGGTGAAAAGTACTTTGTACCAGACAAGATTGTGGTCGGCTTATTTGCTCCTTTTGGTGTCTCGTAGTGGCTAAGATAGGTGTATGACTCATTGTTGCTGTTAGAATTATTCGAAATGTAAATGTCCCAGCCAAGTCCAAATGTTGGACCATACGCCAGATGCTTGTAAATTGCATATTTCAAGTGTGCTTCTTTGATCATGCTCTTAAATGGATGCAATTCTTCTTTGTTCCGTAGAGAAAATATGAACGCATTGGGAGTGTTGCCAGAAGAACTAGAAGAATCTAAAGAACAAAAGGGTAGGTACAATTTAAACTACTGCCTTGTTTGAGTAAGCTAAGGAAGTGGTTAAAGGGCCGCTGACAAGAACACTGCACAATGGAAATATCAGAGACTGGTTTATTTGCGTAGTTTAGCCTTTCAAGGAATAATGAATTCGAAGTTCAATGAAAGTCTATTTACCCCAAGCAATATCAGTGTATCCTCCAAACAAATACTGGCCATTTTTGATGATGGTCAGGGTGTTTAGTTTAAAGTCGCACCTGTCGTGAAAGGTTTTTACAGCCCAGCCGTGCGTGGAGGCGCGGTGGCATAGCAGCCATCGTGAAGTATTTCCCACGGCGGGTGCTAGGAAATGTGAAAGGTTGCCGAGAAAGCTCCCGATGTTTGACAAAATTGTAGAGTTGATGGACAGACCTGTAAAATAAAGCAACGATGTCATATTGTGAAGATTATGAAAGTCATTCTGACACAAATAGAGTTTTTCATCAATTATGATTTGTAATGGCGGTTTGCAGATTGCAAATTTCACGTATCCCGAAATATTGTGAAAGCTAACAGACAAACCAAAGCAAACACAATTTGAGGGTGATGATCATTTTAAATGATAATTTTTAATTTATAGTTAATTTGTAATAAAATTATGGAACTGGAAAACACTAACAAAATTAACAAATATCCTTGTATAACTGGCTGACTGACCATAGGTGCAGGATAATTTAGAACGTTGTATCAATTTTCGATTCTGACTAAATTCGTAATAACGCTATATTTGTAACGTTTCTTATATAGGTCAAAACACAAAGCCGCTGCAGCTGTCCCATAGCATTACCCTTGTATCTATTAAATGGTTGCGTAAGCCTTACCAGATACATTTTCACATCGAGGACCAAGAAATCCAGGCGGACAACCGCAGTCGAAACTATTGAGTCGATCAATGCAGGTTCCACTATGCAGACATGGATCATCCTTGCAGTCGTTGATGTCTGTAGAAAAGGTATAAAGGCATTAAACCTGTTACAAAATAGCTCTTCTGCAGCTCTTGTGGTCCCTATAAGAATTGGGAAATCTATTCTTGTCGTTAGGAAGAGTTACGCAGCCCTCGAGAGTGCACGGAGTCTCTGATCAGTGGTCTAGAACGAGAACCGCTGTGAGGACGCAATGGTTTTTTAAATGTAGGGTGTTCGGCAACGAACACATAATTTTTTTGTTGTTCGAAATGAAGAACCTGTCATCTTGGAAAGGATTAGTAAAATATTGACGATCACGCGCAGACGTGGTCTCCAGTAATTTGAACGTTGGCATTTATTGAAAATTTTTCGAAAACTAAAGATAGAATAAAGATGAAGCTGATCGACACACTTAACTGTCTAGATGTCAAAATATTGTAACCTTTATGGAGGTCAGAGTCGAAAAAACTGCGTCCTAACAGGCTCTTCCTTTCTATTTTTCAACGAAATGCTTAAGCCGTTGGGTTTCGTTTAAACTAAAGTAAATATAAGAGGAAAAGTCAATTTCGACTGAGTACTGATTCCTTTGCGGTAGACTCACTTGTTTGGCAATCTTTTCCCGTAAATCCGATGGCGCAAACACATACATAGCTCTTGGTATTGTACTGTGGCACACATGTCCCGCCATTTTGGCAAGGCCCATTGGCGCATGGTGTCTACAAAGGAAACATGGGAAAAACAATGAGTAGGTAACACGTAAAAGACCAGCGCTCTTAACTAGTGACTTAGCTAAGCGAACAAACGTAACCATAAACAAAGTCAAGCCAACGCATGAAACTCAGGCTATGTAGTTCCGCAAATGGTGGGATTACCTATGAAAAGAAGAACCTGCCTTCAATCGAAGGTCCAGCTGCAGTCTTTGTACTGTTTAGAAGAAAGAGACCTGAACCTTCCCCTTCCCTCCCCTTCGCTATCATTCTCCAGAAAAATGAACTCTTTGTCATGTTAACGATCAACGAAGGATTTTAATTAAATCGAACAGGTGTTATAGAAAACGTCCCGTATTGCGAAATCATACACGCCTAAAATAATATCTTAAAAATCATCATTTTGGCGAGACCTAAGTATTCGGGTCAGAAAATAGTTTTAGAGTTCCTGTTCTACTTGCCAACTATATTTGAAGACAGCCAAGAGCAGTTAGATTTGCGCCTAAACACCGACATCGAATTTTCATCGTCGTTTTCATTTATCTCCGGCAGAACAAATTAAGCACTATCGTATTTACTAAAAATTTATTTTGGTCAGTAGCCTGACCCAAGCTTTTAAACACGGCGATTATAAGGGGAACGAAGTCGTGATAAGCAAGCAAAGGATATGAATCGAAATTATTCAACCATGTAAGTTGAAATAATTTTCTTCCTTCATTAAAATTAATGGATAATTTATTTCTATGGAAAGGATTCTTAAGATATTAATTTAGGCGTGTATGATTTCGCAATAAGGCACTTTTTCTATAACACCTGTTCGATTTAATTAAAAATGTATTTTCCTTTGGGGCTTTCCTCCTACAGCACGCAAAATTTTAGATAATACTGAACCAGATTACTTACCCAAATACTGTAATGATGAAAACCACGCTTTTCGGTAAAATTGCCCGAATTGTTGTACTTGTCTGATGGAAGCAGTTTACACAGGAGTGTTCCGGTCACGGCCTCCAAGTTGTACGAAAAACACTTTGGGTTGGCTGCACAGGCAAATCCACATTCGTCACCGTCTTCAACTTGGGCTGAACTGATCTCTGTGATATCCAAGTAAGAATCTTTTTCTTCTACCATCATCATCAACAACACGCCCTCTGAGGAATCTCGATTGAGACCTTTGAAATAAAAGGTCCAAGAAGTTTTTAGAAACTGCCACTGACATAGCTCTGCTAAACGCTATTACCATCACAAATAACGAACGAAAGTTAAAATTATCGCAGAAAATAAACTTTACAGTACCTTGCGAAGTATGAAGACAACCATAAAGGCAGACCAGTAAATGCAAACATTTTCGAAGGACGCGGAGTCTCATATCTTATCTCTCTGAGGTGTTGAATTGTTATAATATACGATATAACAGCACAGAACGAATGACTTTATTAAAGCAATAATATTGACATAAGAGGCTTTTAAGAGGAACGTTTGGAAAAAATATTTGTTCTTATTTGACCAAAAAGAAATGCAATTAAATGACGCGAGTACGGTTTTTAGGTTATTGGCCTCGTCTTAGCCTCTTTTATAATTGGGAAAAAAACACCTGTTTCCGTCAGACCAAAGGGTCGATATCATGATTATTGTACAGCGATTTGAAAAAACTAACTGCGCCATCGAAAACAATCCCTCGACGTTTAAGAGAATAGCTTAATTGTTAAAAAGGGTCGCAGTAGCCTTTAAAACCTTTGAAATATGGGAATATGTAATTCTTAACAACAGCTGTAGGAGATGTTGCATTCGGGCAACAATTATGCCACCATCTGAATAATTTTAGACCAACTCAGGAAAATTTGAATATCATGAAGATGGCGATGTTTGGTTCGCCCTTTGATTTAAAATTACTTGGCTACATAGAACTCAATTGTACTGACTTAAAATTAGCCTTGTAAAGACTTTTTTGTCCCGATTGATTATATTCGGTCTTCCGTCTCATTTATTATCGCGGTAATCATTTGCATGCTAACTAGATTCCAATGTTATTGCCGCGATGTAACAGTCTCTAACCTGATATCTGTTATCACCGTAATGTTGAATATTCTACCTTAATTATCACTTCGCTACTGCTTAAAAAAAAGATTGTTATTCCATTTCAGTACTTTGATATCGAATCCTATTTTGGAAAGCCAAAAAATTTATCAACAATGTATATCAATTCGAAAGACGATGTTTTGGCGGGTTTTGTTTTTTTTTAAATTATACTTTGTTTTGGTTTGCATAAAACCTTTCAAATTTTCGAAAGGGCGTAAAAGACAAAAATTTTGTTCTGGATGTTTTACAAACGTGATATTAACATCTCTATAACTGGGAAAAGCTTTTTAATTTTTTTTAATTTCACAGCCGTGCAAAGGGCGGAAGGCGATCGATTTTACGAAATATCTAAACACAGCATAAGTTATTCAAAGCTATTGGAACCAGCAGGTTTTTTTCGTTTCACACTGAGTCGTTTTTTCATGCAGAGAAAGAAGCCCAACTGTCGCTCACGATCTGAGCCAAAGACCTCACTCAATCAACACTAGGTTTTAGTTTTCTCACAATTTTTAACTTTCTTTCCCCTTTTGTGGAAATCAGCGCAAACAAGCGAGAGTTTTAGGGCGTTTTCATGGACGCCTAAATGAAAATTCTTGGTGAATGAAAGATAATTATAGAAGATACATGAAAGAAAAGTTCGCTCGTAAATGATTCCGTGCCTGCAGTGAATTGTTATGAGAAATGGCGAGGGATTTAAAAAAAAATCGTGTTTATCTCATAAAGTTTTCAAAGAAAAGCTTTTGTCATTTTCTCGTTGCAAAGATAACGGAAGTGGATTAGAGTCACAGCAGAAATTGTGATATTCTGGGCCCGGTTGTTCAAAACCGCGATTAAACTAATCACCGATTAGGCCTAATCGGCGATTAAATTTCTTAATCGTGGGTTAGTTAATCGTTGGTTAAAAAACGGTTGTTCAAAGGGAGATTACTCGGTCGATTTACTAATCCACGATTAAGCATAAAATGAATTATATTAATTAATTATAATTTATTTTGTGCCAGTTTACGTCATAAAATTGCCGGAAATTTATTTTTGTCAATATGGCTTCTCCAGCGAAGAAAGTGCGGAAAACAAACTTTTCACCCGCTGAAATTTCCGTTTTAACGGAAAAATTTGAAGAAAATATGGACATTCTTCAAAGTAAATTTACCAACAGTATAACAAATGCAAAAAAAAACCAGATTTGGGAAGAAATCTCGGAGGCGGTAAACGCCGTCGGTGTGACAGCAAGATCAACGCAGGAAGTACGAGACAAGTGGAAAAACCTCCAGAGTCACGCAAAAAGAGAATTCAGTTCCTTTAAAAGTGAACAGAAGAAGACAGGTGGTGGCCATGCTCCCCCGAACCCATCAGAAGCCAGTTTAAAAATAATAAACATGTTCAGTGACACACCGTCATTTACTGGGTTACAGGGGTTTGAAACAGGTAAGTTTATAAATGGAAACATAATTGTAATACCTCTCAATGTCCATACCTTGCATAAAATGTATACTTCGCTAACAAACACAAAGCAAAGTGAAAATTAACGGACTTTAGACTTTTGTTTCTTTCTTATTTTCTTTTACATGTACTCCCATGTAAACAAAAAAACAAATGGCGCCGAAAAGTCTGCCTCGGCACACTCTTCTCTTCTCGGCTTCAAATAAAATCTTCGGCCAGCGGCCAACTCTAATCAATTAAATATGGCTGCCTTTTAGAAAGGCAGTCAAGTGCAGTTCAAAACACTGCATTTCAACAGATTGTGGTGCTTCGTTATCTAATAAGACTGGCTGGTCCGTAGGTCCAGAAACTCTTGTCCTCGAGGTGGTGTCGAGCGAGACCTCTGCCGATGAGACCCCTAATTCTGTTGCTGAGAAGCCCGACGAGTTAATAAGCAAACACGAAGCCGTGACCAAAGTTGTCGAAGACACCGCTTCCTGTAAAAAAACTATCAAGGAGGTAAGCGAAAAGCTCCCAAAGAGGAAAATAACCCACGACATGGTGCTGGAAGAGCAGTACAAGGCTTTACTATTAAAGCAGAGTAATTTGAAGCTTTATAAGAAGAAACTTGAATTGGAGATTGCTCTGTTGGAGCAAAAATGTGCAAATATTAAGGAAACGGAGACCTGTGGTAATTTGATGACCACAATAAATTTAAGCCCTATAGTGGCTGGTCGATCTTTCCACCCGTAAATTTACATATTTGTCAAGCTGGCTGCAAAAATTTTAAACCATTAAGTACTTGGCTGTTATAAATGCTGACCAACACTTCCTTTTCGGTAAATGGTTTCTTGACAGAAAAAGAAAAAACAATGAAAAATAAATAAATAGGCAGAGCTCACCATGGGGATCCAAACTCCTAATGTCTCACATGGCGAGCCAGTGTTTATCACACTGTGTTACTTACAAGTATATAAGTTACTGAAGGGTGAAAGTATTAATCATATACCTAAGTACAGCAGGCTTAAGTGCCCCACAACCAGGAAGAAATCCTTTCATAGTTTATTTTCCAAGTTCAGTAGGTCATAGCCACTTTGATTTCACTGGCCATCAAACATATGGAATGAGCTGCTTTTATAACTTTTAATCAAGTAAACAGTTCCAAGAAGTGAAGAACTGCAAACATATCGACAATGTCATGCAACCTGTGGTGGACATTCATCATGCTATGTACTTCCATGGCAAAGGAATGTGAACAATTCAATGGAGGGGCGTTATTAGTTTGGAAAATCCCTTGGTATTACTATATAGAGATCAAGTATTCTTAGCAAGTGCGAAAAGAAATTTAAGTTGCAAAATAGAGAAAGTTTTTGACTGCTGAGTATACATTGTTTTTCTAAAAAAACTCAGTGCCTGTGAGCTGTTATAGTATGCTAAAGTTGAATTGGTCCACTACAAATTAAAGCACTATTGGTGTGGCATTTCCAAACAAATATCAAGTGCTCTTAGAGGGTTTACACTTGACTGAATTTTTGAGAGTTCACTCCAGAGTCAGAGCATGAATATTTTCTAAGTGTTGAGACATCAAGTTTTGTAGTAAGCCTAAGCTCAAAAATTTCCTCAACTACAAAATAATAACATACTTAAGATGCTCTTAACAGTCAGTGAATTATTATATAAATAAAACAAGAAAAGAGTGGTTAAGTTATTTGTTAATATTATATATATCTTTATATATACAATAATAAAATGTCAACCTTTTACAAGCAGCAAAAGAAGTATTTTATTTTTGTATAATAATAACTCTTGCTTTGATTATATAGTAAACAAGAATGATTTATGCACCTAAGTCGTACCACTTGTATTGATTTCATAGTGAAGAATGTTGGAAATGTTGTACTCTGCTGTCACTTTGAAGCTGGAATAACCCCCTGTCCCTTGGTTGTGTTGAACACAAAACATAAATGTAATTTTATTCTTTTTTTGTAAACCATGTAGATTACAACAACAATTGGGCATGACCTTGAAAACTTCATTGAAAAAGTTGAGTCTTGATGCTCAAAATGCCAACTTAGTAATTCTTAGTATGGCGGCGAGTTTATTTTTCAGGTATCTTCACCATAAATAATATTGTTGCAAATTGCAGACAAAATCCCCAGTTTGGATATGAGATATTGCAAATTATATTTTTAGGTAATTTTGATGTGGGAAAAGATGATGGGTAATACATTGAAGTGAAACTGATTTAAGGGAGAAGAACCATTGCAAGCTAAGCCTATTTTAAGAAGAAAAAAAAAATATGCAGACTGGAACTGTCAAAAACAATTTCACATCCCAAAAATAAAAAAACTTGAATGAGCAAGGAAAACTGAAAATTCTCCACCCAATTATTTTTCTTTGGTACATTACTTATGATACATTTGGTCAAAAGGATGGCATCTAGCTGAAATAGGTTTGAGTAATGTGATTTCTGACAGCTTGTCCTTGATTAGGACCACAGTACACATAATCCTCATTTGCTTCCCCACCAACATCTCCATCCTCCATTGGCTCACTGAGGAAAATTGCGATATTGTGCAAAACAGCACATGCACCAATGATGATGCACACTTTTTCTGGAGCCATACGAATTTCAGAATGGAGAACATGAAAGCGACGTTTCCAGCGGCCAAAAGTTTGTTCAATGATTACCCTTGTTTTACAATGAGCATCATTGTAAGCAACTTGAGCTGGGGTGCTTGGGTTGATATACGGGGTCATCATAAATGGGCGCAATGCATACCCACTGTCCCCGAGGAGAATTCCATCATCCAGTGAGTGATGATTTTCCTCTATGTAGCTACATAGATTTGAGGACCTGAACATGAAGCTGTCAT